TTGTGTTCTTTAAGAGTATCATTCGTTTTAAAACTTTTGCCACAATCTTTGAAATTACATTTGAATTTCTTTTCATTCAAATAAACAGCACTTTTGTGTCGAATTAGATGTGATTTTGCTGTAAACAGTTTGAGACATTCACTCCAATCGCATGGATAACGCTTTTCACCCGTATGTTTGCATTTATGATCATTTAGTTGTCCATTTGTTGGAAAATATTTGACACAATTTTCATCATTACACTTGAATTTCTTTTTATTCAAATGAACAGCACTTTTGTGTTTAAGTAAATATTGTTTTCTTGTAAACTGTTTGTGACATTCACTCCGATCGCATACATAACTCTCGTTTAAATGAATAGTTTTATGCGAAATCAGATGATATTTATTATTATACGCTTTATTACAGTTAAGAAAATCACATTTAAATTGTCTGAATTGTGAATGAGTCCATTGGTGTTCAGTTAATCTCAACTTAACTTTAGACTTAAAGTAACATTTAGGCCAAAAACAGTGGAAATAGTGATAAGTGTTGAGTGTATTAATGGTGTTGTGATTGGAAAGCATTTTATCACTTATTTTACATGAATTCAAATCAATTGAATTGCAATTCATTGACNAGCATTTTATCACTTATTTTACATGAATTCAAATCAATTGAATTGCAATTCATTGACAAATTCACTGCATTTTCGCATTCAATCCCTTCACACAAAACACTTTCATTTTGTGACAAAAACACTTAATTTTGTCTAAACTTTTCGACAAACTCTTCAAATCATTTAATTTATTTAATTCACACTTCATTTCAATCAACACTTCCTCAACTTTTGAGCACGTTTTGTAAATTAAAAAGTATTTATTAATAAGTGTAATGATAACTGTTTGACACTTCAAACTACAATATAATGCAATATTTGGCGCACTTTTGACACAAACGGACAGAAAGTCCTGTCTTTGAGTTTTAGGACAAATGCTTTCAAGTGTTTCAGTGTTTTAATTGTGAGTTAGATTTGAAGTTCAAATCTTGAACAGTATTCTCGGAATTTCGGAACACCTATCCGTCCAATCCCTGTCCAATACAACACTGTACAGTATTTCACACCCATACCCTTGTACAAATACATTTCGTTTACGACAGAAATAGTTTCAATTTAATCATAAAAGTTCAACAAATATTGCATTCAAGTTGTGGTCATAAATTGAATTGATTACATATTAAAATGTCATTTATTGTGAATTAATTAATAAATATTTTTATCTCATATTTTTTAAATAAATAATTTTTAAAAATAAACCAAAAGTTTATAATCTCTTAGCGTTTAGAACATTGAACACCAGGCTCTGAACACCTGTGCTCTCTGTAAACTAAACTAAAGTTATTTTTGTATCCCTTTCCCAGTAATCCCTGTATAATCAGCTTATTTTTGGGCTCAATAACCATTTCACATGATATTAATGCTTTTCAAATCTCAAACATATTTCGCAAAATATTTGGTATAATTTGGTTCATAAATTAATTTGGTTATTAAATAAATTTAAATCTTATGACTTGTTTATAACGTCAAGTGGTATGACTATCAATTGGTATGAGTTTGTGTCCACATATTCACGATATATTTAACAACAAAAAACTTTGTTTTAAATTTGTTTTTCAGTTGATTTGTGATTTCCGTGACAATTATGTCTCAAAACTATAGTAAAGATAGTTTCGACAGATTTGGTGACGATTTGTGTGAACTGTTGTTGAGTTACCTATCATTGAAAGACCGATTCAGATATGAATGTCTGTCCAAACAGTGGCAACGAGTCATATATGAGACACAAACGGCGCTTATATGTAACGACCCGTGGATTGACACCTATTTGGAAGCGATTGTCATAAAGTGTCGAAACATTGATTGCATTGAAATCACCAAAACTCCCAAAAATACTGCAATTGATTTGATTATAAAACACTGCAATCATGTCATTAGTATTCACATTAAATGCAATCTTAATGTTAAACTTATTGATGATTTGTTTGCAAAGTTTGCCAAACAATTGAAAACTTTTAGCAATGCATTGTATCTCAATAGTTTGCCTGCTCAATCACTTAATAAGCTAGATTCAATTATGTCAATTGATTTAGACAAGTTTCGTATACTATTTGATAGGTTTTCCATAATATATTTGTCCAAAAATGTCTGTAAAATTACCTTATATTTGAGTGATAATGCAGTTATTGATTGCTTTAATAAGTTTGTGAATACCTATGAAAATAATATAAAATCAATTTATTTATCAATTGGCTATAAATGCGATTATAATTACACTGAAACACTAATGACTAGTTTATCGCAAATGTCGTCATTAATTGACTTAAGTATCCGAACCTTTAATGAAAGGTTAAAAATGCCTATAATTGTGAAAATGTTGCCACAAATTGGTGTTAAAAGGCGTAAACTCAAGAGACTATCGCTTTTCATCACAGCTTACGACATGTTAATTATATCGCAATTTTTTGACACAATTAATGCCAACTTTAAACACATTAAACGACTGGAAATTTACAGTCATTTTAACGATAAGTTTGTATTAACGAGTGATTTGTTGCGTGAATGCAAACGATTGACTCATTTAACTGTAAAACAGTTTGGGATTCAAGAAAATGAGTTTTTTGTGGATATCGATAAAAATTTTCCAAAATTAAGATTTATTTGCTTTTATAATCAAAGGATAACTGATTTTGTATTGAATTCTGTGTCAAGACTACCGAAAATACAAACCATTAAACTCTATGGCTATGAATACTATACACCTAATGGTGTTCACAATGTGGGACAAGTTTGTCCTAAAATTAAATCAATTTTATTGAATAATAAATTTTAAATAAATGTTTACGTTAACTATAATTATTTGATTTTAAAATTGTACTTGTTCACATATTTTGAGCTAATTTCTAATAAATAAATGTTTTTATTGCTATTTTCATGAGTAAATTATTTGTGAAAAATAAATCATAAGTTTCTAATCGCATAGCATTTAGAACATTGAATTCCGGGTTCTGAATACCTGTGCTCTCTATAAGTCACTATAATCTCAGATTATTAATCTGAATATTTTTATATCCATTTCCCAGTAAGCTCTGGATAACCTGTTTAATAATGAACTCAATGACCCTTTCATATGATATATAAATAACAAACTAATTATAAAACTACTTAACTGTTGAACTCAGATCTCAAATAAACGCTTTTAATTTTTAATAGCAAATATTTATCAATTTTTTTATATTTTTTAATTGTGTATATAATACATAATAATAAAGTTATTGTCAATAACTTATTGATTTAACACAAGTGTTAGTGTTTTGCGAGAAATAATGTCTCAAATTTTTAGTAAAGATAATTTCGACAGATTTGGCGACGATTTGTGTCAACTATTGTTGAGTTACCTATCATTGAAAGACCGATTCAGATATGAATGTCTGTCCAAACAGTGGCAACGAGTCATATATGAGACACAAACGGCGCTTATGTATGACGACCCGTCGATTGACACCTATTTGGGAGTAATTGTGAGAAAGTGTCGAAACATTAATTGCATTGAAATCACGAGAATTCCCACAAAAACAGCCATCGATTTGATAATAAAACACTGCAATCGTGTCAACAGTATTCACATTAAATGCAATCTTAATGTTGAACTTATGGACCAATTGTTTGTAAAGTTTGCCAATCAATTGAAAACCTTTAGCTTTCATTTGTCATATTACAATAGGTCTCCTCAAACACTCAATAAGCTAGATACAATTATGTCCATTGATTTAACCAGTTTTTCTAAGCTGTTTAACTGGTTTTTCAATATATATTTGTCCAAAAATGTCATCAAAATTACCTTATATTTGAGTGATAATGCAGTTATTGATTGCTTTAATAAGTTTGTGAATACCTATGAAAATAATATAAAATCAATTAATCTATCATTTAGCTCTGAATGCGATAATGAGTCCATTGAAATACTAACGACTAGTTTATCCCAAATGTCGGCATTAATTGACTTAAGTATCCATAATTCCAACATATACTGTAAAATGGCTATAATTGTGAAAATGTTGTCACAAATTGGTGTTAAATGCCGTAAACTCAAGAGACTATCGCTTTTCATCAGTACTCACGACATGTCAATTGTATCGAAAATGTTTGACACAATTAATGCAAACTTCAAACACATTAAACGACTGGCGATTTACAACTATTTTACCGATAAGTTTGTGTTTACGAGTGATTTGTTGCGTGAATGCAAACGATTGACTCATTTGACGGTATATTCGCTTTGCGCTCAAGAAAATGAAAATAACTTTTTTGATAATATCCACCAAAATGTGCCAAATTTGCAGTTTATTTGCTTTTATAAGCAATCGATAACCGATTTTGTATTGAATTCTGTGTCAAAACTACCGAAAATACAAACCATTAAACTCTATGGCAGTGAAGACTTCACACCAAATGGTGTTCAAAATGTGCGACAAGTTTGTCCCAAAATCAAAACAATTTCTATTTCAAAATCAATGTAAACTATACATTGAATTTATATGTTCACATACTTTGAGATTTTTAATAAATAAATAATTATTATGTGCTATTTTTAAAGTAAATAATTTGTGAAAATAAATCATAACTTACGTTATTATTCATAAGTTTCTATTCACAGAGCATTTAGAACATTGTATTCCGGGTTATGAATACCTGAGGTCTATATAAGTCACTAAAATTTGTATATTTTTGTATCCCTTTCCCAGTAATCTCTGGAAAAACTGTTTAATAGTGAACTCAATAAACCGATTGTTTTCTATGCAAATAAACTATTTATAAAATTATTTAATCAATTTTGATTTAATTTTTATAAGTTTTTAATAGTATTTAATTTTTATTGCAATTAACACTAGTTTTTGTGTTTTATAATAAAGATCTCCATTAATGAAGCTTTAATTTGAACTAAATTAACAATCATATTTAATTATAGTAACATTACAGTCCGATGTGTATTGTTACACATCGACTGTCGATGTCCGACGACTACATGTCGTCTTAAATTAGCTTTTGTTTTAAAACTTTTGTGACAATCATTAAAATGGCAAACAAATGGCTTTTCATCGCAATGTACGCGCTGTTTGTGATCATTTAAATCCGTCCTTTGATTGAAACATTTGCCACAATTTTCTTCATTACATTTATATTTCTTTTCATTCAAATGAACACTACTTTTATGTCGTTTTAAACATTGTTTTGTTGTAAACTGTTTGCGACATTCACTCCAATCGCATACATATCTCACGTTTAAATGAACACTATTTTTGTGTTGATTTAGATATGATTTTGAGTGAAAAACTTTATTACAATTATTATAATTACATTTGAATCGTTTTATAGATGTATGAATTGATTTGTGATTTTAAAAATTAGTTCTTTTTGATGTCTTGAAGTGACATTTAGGCCAAAAACAGTCGTATCTCTTCTCATTCAAATGACCATCACTTTTGTGTTGAAGTAAAGCTTGTTTTTGTGTAAACTGTTTGTGACATTCACTCCAATCGCATATATATCTCACGTTTAAATGATCGATATTTTTATGTAAATCAAGTTGCAATTTTCGTTTGAATATTTTATTACAATTACATTTGAAATTATATATACAGGGTTGTTACTAAACATCGGACCTATTTGGGAGGCTTGGCGTTTGGACACCCTGTACTATTTTTTGATGATTCCTTTTCGAAGGTGTAGAGGAAGAGTTAGATTTTTATGTGGTATATAATTTGTCAAGGTTATATTTGTAGAAAAAGTTA